ATGAGGCATTTTGGTGAACAGTTCCACCATTACCAGAATGCAGGTATGCCGTTGTGACTGCGGGAGGTCAGTGATGAAGTCCAGAGATACTGTGTCCCAAGGGCCGGCTGGTACAAGTAGCAGATGTAGCAGCCCTGGAGGTATGGCTGGTATGTCTTTGGCTTGACAACAAACCTCACAGGAATCAACATAACGAACGTCAGTGCAAACCCGGGGCTACCAGAACTGCCATGTGAGTAGATGCAGAGTCTTATACTGACCAAAGTGTCCTGCAGGAGGGGAATTGTGGGTCTAGTAGAGTACGTTGGCTCGGAGGGACCCTGGAGGGACACACAGGGGCCCTCAGTGCAAAAGGAGACCCTGGAGGTTAGCAAAGTCTCCAGCAGGGGCCTCTTGGAGTTCCTGCTTGGCCCAGGGATCATGGGCTTGGCTGGCCTGAACTTCATCAGCCAGGGACAAGCGGGTTGTAGTGGCTGAGAAGACTGAGGGTGATAAGATAGATGTGGCCGAAGTCTCTTCAGAGGGTGTTACCGCATATTCTTTATGGTTCCAGGGCTTCTGCCAGGTCAGAACCCCTTCTATTTGGGTCCATCTGGATCCCGTGGGGTGACACAATGTGGCCTAGGAACTAACTTCCTGCAGGTTTAACTCACACTTCTCCAGCTTGTTGATCTCGTAGTCATTGTTAAGACCTGGTGAACGCGTTCTGTGTGCTGAGCGGGGTTTCGGGAGTAAATCAAAATGTCATTGAAATAGATGATCACAAAGCGATCAAGCAGGTCTCGGAAGATGACATTCATGAACCACTGGAATACGGCCAGAGTATTGGTCAAGCCGAAAGGCATGATTAGGTATTCGTGCTGGCCATAACGAGTCCCAAAAACCATCTTCCACTCGTCGCCTGCACAAATTCTCACCAAATTGTAGGTGCCACAGAGGTCCAGCTTGGTATAAACCTGGACACCCTTAAGGCAATTCAGGAGTTTCTGTGATCAATGGCAGGGGGTAGGAGTTCCAAATGGTTATTTTATTCAAGGCCCAGTAATTATTGTAGGGGCAAAACTCTCTGCCCTGTTTTTTGACAAAGATAACAGGTGCAGACAGGGATGAGGTCGATGGCCGGATGAATCCCCATTTCAGGTTTTTGTCAAGAAAGGCCCGCAAGTCCACTAGTTCTGGTTCAGACATAGGGTAGATCCGTGCCACAGGGAAGAGTGCCCCACACACCAAATTAATGACGCAATCATAGGGTCGATGCGGGGGTAGTTGGTCAACCCCCTTTTCCTCCAAGACATCAGCAAAGTCCCTGTATGCCGAGGGAATCATGGGACTAACAGTTGAAATTGCTGCAGCCAAGGTGGCTGGTGGAACAAGATGCCAACATGGATCCTTGAAGCTTGACTCCCCTTGTGCCCAGTCCACTAGGGGGTTATGTGTCCGGAGCCAGGAAAGTCCCAGAATGAGGGGGAAATGAGGCATACGTGCAACACTTAATTATAGTGGCTCCTAATGGTGCTGGATCTGGAGAATAACTGGACAGGTCTCCTAGGCTACCAGGCCAGAGTGGAGGAGACACACGTCTATGGACTCAAGTAGGGTCGGGGTCTCTCCATGCTCTGTTACCACAGAGCTGGAGTTCCTACTCCAGTCCTC